CCCCAAAAAATTATTGAGATTTCACTGGTGACATGGGATGAATAGCTACCCAAAGGTTGAGGTTGTTCATGGGATTCAGCTAAGAAAACATTGGGATTTCACGGGATTTTACCAGCAAAAATTGGGATTTCATGGGGTTTAACCAACGAAAGTGGCATTTCACCAGAAGGAACACGGATTTTTCATGGATTCGAATAGAGCATTTTCAGGTGATTCGGACTCTTTTTTTTTTTTCCGATTTGATCAACCTTTTGTTATGGGGGATTTCAGCAACGAAAATTGATGGTGAGATGATAGGGATCTTTCATGGGAATTCATAGGGATTTCAAGCATCGACGCCTGGGATTTTTCGTCGAAAAAGACAGCCACAACAGGAATGGGCTTTGAATGCTCTAAATACCTGGTTTGTCTCATATTTTTCTCCATGTTTGTTGAATGGTTCTCAGATTCTGGCTTCGCCTTGAAAAGATGACTCCAAGCCCTTCTGATCCTTAAGTGCATTGCTCGCCAGTCCGCTTGCGAGCGGGTTCTACGCAACATCGCCTACAGAATGAGGCCTGGGACTACGGTGGAAGAGGAGTGAGAAGAAACGCGAACACTTTCTCAAGAGTCCACATCACAGGTGATTCCTTGAATTCAGATATGATTTTTGCATCGCACATCTGCAAATTTTTCTTCACATGTTTTTGGGTTGACCATGCCGAGCACTTTCTATTCAACATGTGCAGATGTGTAACCATTCAGGAGCCATCATTTGTGTGAAAACTTGAGACCCTCAGGACAAAAGACTCATGTGAAATCGGACTAAAAAACCCATCTCGCATCCCAGTCCAAGTTGGATTTTTGTTTCTGTCATCTCCTGATATCGCATGATATAGACATACATATAGATCACATACTGTACATGTATACATGCATACATATATATATATACATACATATATATATATATATACATACATATGTATATGTATATATACATACATATGTATATGTATATATATATATACATATATATATAGATATGTATACACATCATAGATACACAGGATATATTAATCACAACGATCGGATCATTTTGCACAGTCATTTTATGCCTGCACCACCGCGGCTTTTTTATTTGGTGATGGTCAATGAACCCCCCAATGAGTTGGTCAACTCCTAACTGACCGGTTTTTCGTTTTTTTTAGGTACGTTGACCGTCACGACTTTTTTTGGCGAGTTGGTCCCATGTTTACTTATCTTATGTATTTTAACTACTCAACTACTCAACTACTCAACTACGAACTTTTAAGTTGGTTAACCAAAAGAACTACTTTTGAGTTGACCCGACTACTTTGAAAGTGAACCAACTAACTAAGTCACTAACTTACTCAACTAACTAAGTTACTCAACTAACTCAACTAACTAAATTGGTTAACTCCTAACTTACTCAACTCGTCGAGTCAGGCGCCAAACAACATGCCCTGGGAGGACATTCCCATTGAGGCACCCAAGGTGAGTTCCGGTTGGTCGACGTCAGATGGTGATGGTGATTTAAACCACGAAAAATGGGTGATTTCATGGGATTTGACCGGCAAACATGGTGATTTCATGGGATTTAAATAGCTTGGATATGGTTAAATATTTCATGGGAGATCTTGAGATTCATAAGGATATTCCATGGGATATTTTTCACCATTTTTGGAGACTTTTTCTGGGAAGTCTTATGGGACCTTCATCATTGGTGTGGGAAAAGCTGGTTGAGGGCCACGTTGAACCTTGGACTTGGAGTCCTTGTGAAAGCACCTTTCTTCGCTTTTGGTATTGTTGTTTTGTATTGCTTTTCTCATGTGTTTGTATTGGTTTTGGCATTTGTTCAATGCTTGGTCTGTTTGCAGACGTTGTCGAAAAATTGCAACACATGTTCATCCTAAGACTGTTGGCAGTCGTCTTGGGTTAGAAATGGTGCAGCAAATTATCCCGACAAGTACATCCCCCGAAATCACCACCAAACCTCATTAAATCACCGCTAAACCACCGTATTTTTTTGATGAAGCCACCAATTTGATTAATTTGTTTTCTCGTCTTCAACAACTCTTTGCTTCCTTCGTCCAGGAGAGTCAGTTGCTTGGAGCAGAGATAAACGTTCTGGAAGGGAGACGGAGTTGGTTCAATGTATGGATTTAATGGTGGGGTTTAAGCATCAAACATAGGGATTTCTCCATGTGTCCGTGTCAGAACATGGGAAAGGGCCCATCATTTTTTATGGCCATTTCATGGAGAACTTTTCGGGGAACATGACGGGATGTTTTGAACCATGGGGATTTTTGGGTATCCGATTTTCAGACAAACTCTGCATCTGATGGTATTTATATCAACTTTTGGAGGTCTTAACACTTGAAGACACAGAAAACTTGGGGTTTACGATGGGTACATCTACGGTTACCCTCTGGCAATTAAATGCGGCACTGGGAAATCCCTGAAATAATAAAGGTTCTAGTGGGAAATCATCTAATGTGGGTCAAACAATGTCATAAACCATCCCCCAGTCATCACAATTTTTATAGGTGATATGGTTACCATTTCCAGTCATGGGTGGTTGATGGTGCAGTTTCCAGCCACATTTGATGACCAAGTTCTTGGGTGGGAGACTCGATGGTGTTGGAGTGTCTGGTTATCAGGGACACATCAAGAAACCGTTCGATAACTTCTTGGGTGGTTTCAAAAGCAACTTTTTGTTCGATTTGTATGGTGACCCCAAAACCTAGAGACTGAAAAACTATGGATCGAAATTCTAGAAATGAGACTTCAAAGATATGAATAGACATTTCAGAAATAACGATTTTCGACATTTTTTTCGTTTGTCATACAATTTCTTCACGAATTCGCGCAAGCCACGCCCTCTTCGGGTCATCACTACAAGGTGTGGCCCCAAATGCCAATATCTCTGCGAGCAGCCCAAGTGTCTGGGGACCCCAACGGACGGCGAAATTTCGCCGCCAGGGATGGTGCTAAAGCAATCTGGTCCTCCAAACAGTTTGCTGCGGTATATAGATGGACTATTTATAGATTTACCATGATTTACCAGTTGACCGTTTGCAAAAATGCTGGTGTTCCACAGCAAAGGGATTGAAGGCTGGCAGCATTTTGAATGCCGTTGCACATATAACTGGGAGCCCCCCATCATATTTTAATCTGGGTGGGGGTTTCAAACATGTTTTATGTTCCATTTCATATATGGAATCATCATCCCAACGGACGAAGTCATATTTTTCAAGATGGTGAAATTGCACCACCAAGCAGTAATGTACAAGCCACTAATGTCCACTGATCACCATGAATCCCGGATGGGGATATAAACCATTTCACCGCCATGGTGTTTTGCGAAGTTGATTTGATACTGGCGACGGGTCAGATGCAAATTGAAGTTACGAAGTGTACGAAGACAAGTGGGCCATTGAGATACAAATGGCACCCATATGATTTTCTACTTCTGTTTCTTTTTGGTGCCTCCAATTACACAATTGTGGGCCTTTTTCTCATGTACGGAGTCCAGTCTGATCCCTGCTGCCCAGCATCTCTGGGATATCATCCCATTATCACTGCTAGGTTACATTAGATTGGCAATCACATTGGTTTGATGTTCTTTCCATGACAAAGTTCAAATCACCTCAGCCATTTTTGGGATGATGGTCCCCAAGCGTTGACAAATGATTTGGAATGTTTGGAATGGGTGGCTCAATCACAAACCAGAGTCGTGCCTCTTTGAGAGAATTTGTAATCAATGTAACCAGAATTTGGTCCCACCAGAATTTGATCAATGGGAATGTAACCAATCAGGGATTCCCACAATTTGGTAATCAATGTAACCAAGCTTCTTCACATTCACCACAAATTCTGCTTGGTTACATTCCCATTGATCATCCCTCTGATGCTTCGCTATTCTTAGGGACAACATACATCAGACCTGTATAGATGTATGACCCGCTAGCGTAGTTATTGTGGTTATCAACCAACTTAGCTAGGGCCCCTCAACCTGTATGAACATTGCTTAAATCCCACTAAATCCCATGAACTTCCATTAAATTCACATGAGAATCCCATCAAAATCCAATTAAATCATTATATTCCTGGTGAATTTCCTTTTATCCCGATGAATTCCATGAAGCTACAATGTGGCCCCCCCCCAGTGATGTGAACGTTGGTTTATAAACCCCATGAATACTATAGTTATTTGCGTACCATAAACCATAGTGAAATTGGAGTTATGTTCACCAACTGAACGCTATCATAAATCAACTATAAATCCCCATGGAAACCACCATTTTCCTTTGGTTTTCCTATGATTTTATCGTGGCCACGGGCCCCACGACTTGTATGGTACCATTCTTCATCCCATCAAGGACTTGAAATCCCCTGGTGAAAATCCACCACTTTGGCGTCGGATCACGTTTCACAGAGGTCCTGGGGCCCAGTGTGCACCGCTCTGCGATCCACCGTCCTGCAAGACCAGCTGCAGTGGGGGACCTGGGATTTCCCATGGGGATTCCATGGTGATTTCAGGTGATTTCCATGGGAATTTCCTGGGGTTTCAAGATTGATGAAAATGGTGATTTTCGGGATTTAGTGGGATCCAATGAAAAAGATGCTGATTGGGAATTTTACCGGGGATTTTCGTGGAAGTTCATGAGACTTACATTTATTACGAGGGTAGTTTGATACTCCGACCAGCTAAAAGATTTTTTTCTTGCGCTTGATGAGCCGCTACCAAGTGACAAAATGGGAGGGCACCGCTCGCATCGATGGTGATTGCAAGTGGATCAGGTCTTATGAAAGACAGGTAACATTTTTGTATCCCAGCCATTGAAAATCCACCATTCATAGATGATTTTCCCACATTCTAACCTCCATTTAGTCCGGGGACTTTCGCTTGCCAGGTTTACCCGACCAAATGGGATGAGCCACATATATTCGTTGCTTTGATCCCTATCATTACCGGGTCCTGGAACTGACCCAAGGTACGCAGAGGGATCACTGCGAGACGCGCTGTGGAGAGCCGTTGTGTGGGGCCGCTCAGCACGTCGATTTTTGCAGTTTCTATGGCCTGCTTAAAAATGATGTGTTTTTTAAAGTATTTTCAGATTTTCAATACTTTCAGCATCTTTCAGCTATAGATACTATATCTTTCTCAGAAAGTTTCTGCATACCATGTTTTCGAGTCTTTTCCGAAGTTACGTATAACACTTCGGCCGCCTCGAAAACGTCACTGGCATCGTCGCCCTCGTCGCCAGGTGCTGTGGTGTGTCCGCAGGTGGAGTGCAAGGGCAACGACTGCAGTGATGTGAAGTGTCAGACGGTGTGCCTTGGAAAAAACGGGTAGCCGACGCGGCTGGATCTTTTAGACGTCTTTGGAGCTGACATTGACGTCAAAGGAAAGGAAGACGTTGATAGATGGGATGAAATTTGGGAATGCATTGGACTTACACTTGGAATAAAACTGGAGTATATATTATATAATATATATATATTTATACACATGGGCTTGGAATGTAATTGGATGATTACTGGGAAATTTGGAAGCCTACAATAAATTAGTACATATATAGATATTGATTTTCCTATTTATACATCATTTTCCTAGGGAAATCATTGTCCATATGTAATTCGTATATCCCGAAAAGGTAGAGCACCGAAGGGCTGTGCATGGCTTACAACTATGGTCATTAACTTATGAACCGTTTGGATTTTTAGGGCCACCCAAAATTCCGTTGGATGATAGATCCTGTCAATAGTCCATTGAAATTTGATTGTGCTTGATGATCTTATGGACGAATTAGATCTCGAAACGCTTGTATAGCATTTTCTCTCAACAACAGACATACGCATTCCGCATGTACTTGTTGAAATCAATTCTAAATTAGACAATGCTATGATATCTGACTTAATGACTTAGAGTCTTAGAGTATGATATCCAGCTTTCGCTTCCTATTTCCTTGATCCATTGATCCTTCATTGATGCCCTATGTTTGCTGGTTAAATCGCCATGTAACTGTTGGTTGCTTGCTTAAATCCCATTGAATCACCATAAAATCTTCCTTACATCAGCATAGAATCCAGCATCCGAACTTCAGACCTCACCTTATTTTTCTTGCTGAAAAACCGATGTTCAAAATCCACATGTTGGCTGGTGAAATCCCATGAAAATCATCACTTCAGGTGCTCGCCGCCGGCGTGCAGCACCAGCTGTGCTGAGACATGTCACACGCAATGCGCCAAGCCAAAGTGAGGGGAGCTCAGCAGTGACGTTGGAGGTTGGAGGATTTAGCCATTTTTAGTGGTGATTCAAGGAAGATTTCCATGGGGATTTCCATGGGATTTCATCAAGAAAATTGGGATTTTCTAATTGGTTGACGGACAGAACAGGGTGATTTTGATGGGTTTTAACTACCAAACATGGACATCTTTAATGGGTGAGTCACTATGGATGCAACGTTGATTAGATCCAAGATGATCCAAAATTCATTAGAAGGATCATAAAGACAGTTACCCTCTGGTAAACTAACATAGCTATTGAAGCCATGGCCATAGAAAAAAGTGGATTTTCCCATTAAAAATGGTGATTTCCCATAGTTATGTTAGTTTACCAGAGGGTATTAGTATTGTTCATTATCTTTTGATGTCTGAAAGATGTGTTGACAGCATCTTATCCAAACCATCACATGGTGGAGATGGCGGGGCCAGGACACACCTGGCCACGGGCTGCAGGTGCCAGTGGCGCTGCAAAGCGAACCCCGCCTGTCCGGCGCCAAAGTGCAGGATGAACTGCACCAACTTAGGCCGCCGGAGCTGGGACCATGGCCGGTTTTGGGAGGAGCTGGTGGGGTTTCAAAGTTTCAAAATGGGTATGGGTCAATACCTAATAATACCTTTTTTAGTGGGATGAACATCCATTTACCAGCTATTTTGATGTGAACTACAGGGGTACAAGGTTTTGACACACTGCCAAAGCAACCTTTGAACTTGGACTATGGAACTATGGAACTATGGTCTGCAACTCACTTTATAAAAATGGTGATTTCATCAGAAAAGGGAGCTGGGGAGCTTGAGATACTTATCTCCATTAATGAATGCTCAATTTATCTTAATTTAAGCTATGAATGGTAACTTCCAATTAGTTCAAGTCACGATGTGGATTTCATCTGGCTACATCTTTGTAGGGAAACCATGTCCGGGTGGCTTGGACTATCAACCAACATGGGGGCTGTCATCAATTTTTCGATCGGAGATCGGACTGACATTCTTTTGTTTACCCTCTGGTAATTTAACATAGCGAACTGGAAAATCACCATGATTAATGGGAAAATCCACTATTTCTATGGTCATTTTCAATAGCTATGTTAAATTACCAGAGAGTATTTTGAAATCCTTTGGACACCCCAAAGACAAGTGTTGTTTCTTTTTCTTACTGGTGCTAAACGCAGGGAATGAGGGAATAATCCATTTCATCACTAGTAATAATAATCCCAGCAACCCCCATTCCCATCCATTCCCTACGTAAAACGCACCAGTAAGAATAGGAATAGGATACCCTCTGGTAATTGATCATAGCTATTGAAAATACCCCATTGAAATAGTTGATTTACCTATTCAAAATGGTGATTTTCCATAGTTTTTTCCCCAACCAAACCCCAAATCCTGCAGATTTTCCATACCTGATGACTTTCCCGATGCATCGCGGCCAGACTGCGCCATGACTCTCTCTGCTGGCAATGCCACGGTATGGGCGCCCGTGTGATGTTGGGACGTCTGGGTGAAGCGCTGGGCGACCTTGGGCATATCAATTGCGACATATCCCATGGCGATATCAACATAAATATATATATATATATATCTATATAATTCTATATATATATATATGTATACATATGTTATATATATATTATACGGGGTGCCATATATATATATATATACACATATATATATATATATATCCGTTAATATAGTTTTATATTTGTCATTTAACATCCATTTATGTCAATTCATAGGGGTCGCTCCAAAGATCATGAAATGCCTCGGATCCCAGGATTTTGATCGATTTCCTCGGTAGTTTTCAGGCGCATGAGATAGAACATCCAACTACCATGGATTTTGCGGGAGAACATGGGATGATTTACCCAGGATTCCATATATATATATACATAGGTGGTATGTTTAAAGCATTCCCAGTCATGGGGTGGTTTATGACATTGTTTTAACCACATTAGATAGTACCAGATATGGTTGTTGTGGGACCACGGCGGACGAACGACTCTCCACTCTCCGAGGCGGCGAAGCTAAAGAAGGCTTTGATGAGAGATGGCAAGGTGGCACGGCAGCCCTTCCGGGGAATCGCTGTGGATTTCTTGAAAAGGAACATGGGTGTGTCTGAAAATAATGTACCCCTAATCCCAATGGTTTTCATGATCATTATCCCGTTTTTAAATGGCTATTTCATTGGGAATATACCCTATTTTCAGACAAACCCACATGATCCACGGATGAAAAAATGCCATGTTTGTTGGGTGAGTTGTTTATGCGCCAAAGTTTCCAAAGGGCTCGAGCCAGTGAAGATAATTCTTAGCAAATGCTTCAAATCAATGTGGCTTTGCCCAGCGGAAAGAGGAACCAACTTGCAATTTTGGAGTCCTCCAAAGTAGGGGACCTGATTGTTCTCGCCCAAGAGTCATTTGGACAAGGCTTCCGGCTTCGACTTGTCACTGCAGAGGGGCATGTCCTCAGTGACCATGTGAAATCCCTGCAAGCAGCAGGGATTGAAGATGGAGACAACATCACTGCCTTTGCACAACAAAAAGTACAGCTGGCATCAACAGGCGGAGCCTTTGCTCTTTGGCGCTGCGGAGGTGACACAGTTGTCACGTGGGGCGCTCAAGATTCTGGTGGCGACGTTTCTGCAGTGCAAGATCAGCTCAGGAGTGTGCAGCAGGTTCAAGCCTCACAAATGGCATTTGCAGCAGGCATCAGCCTGTGAAAGGTGCGTCAGAAAGCAAAAGGTGTTCATACCCTTTCGTAATCATGAGACGGTAAAATTCCTCATTCTTCCAATCATAATGCCATACTGCATCAAAGGAGTTGAATGGGATTGCAGCAGATTCAATGCTCATCTCACGCATTTGCTGCCATCTTGGCTGATGGATCAGTGGTGGCCTGGGGCGATGTTGAGGATGGTGGTGATTGCTCGGCCGTTCAAGATCAGCTCTGGAATGTGCACCACATTCAGGCCACACATGCCGCATTTGCCGCAATTTTGGCCGATGGGTCGGTGGTTGCCTGGGGTGATCCAGGCTTTGGTGGTGACTGCTCTGCCGTTCAAGATCGGCTCAAAGATGTTCAGCAAATTCAGGCCACATGGTATGCATTTGCCGCGATCTTGGTCGATGGATCCGTCGTTGCATGGGGCAATCCAGAGAGAGGCGGTGACTGCTATGCAGTCCAGGAGCAGGTTACACTTGTCTAGGACAAAAGTTCCAACTTATCACTGCGTAGCCTCTCATCGAGCCCAAGAAGTCAAAACATAAGTGCCTTGCGAGATTTTTTCACCCCAAAGTTCGAAATTCGTCGATTCGTCAGGGGTTGGTAACTGTCCCATTTTGGGTATATTGGACATCACCTTATAGTAGCCATTATAGACCATATACCTAATGGTTGGGTGATGTTCAATGGGGACATTTAATGACCCAGATTCGTTGTAAGAATGACACAGCAGTACACCACGACTGCCCCAAAAAATCTTCCCCACTTTTGTCAGTACGCACCAGGTTGGGCTTCTATGCTCTCCAAGGGTGAGTACAGTTTCACCACCCTTCCTAAATCCACTGGTTATGCGATAAACAGAACATGTTGGACGTTCCTAAAGGATCCTAAAGGGACAATTATCCCCAATATGGCGGAATTGTCCCTATTCAATTAAATTCCAATGGGTCAAATGGGTCATGATCATGTATGATCCCCATTAAACAAATCCCATTTGGTTGGTTATATAACCCATTTTATCAATTTATTTCCCACTATATCTCATTAATATCCCCTTAATGATATCCCCCGTTATCTCCCATTGACATGGCTATAGCGGCTATAAATCTCGCCTTTCTGTGGATCCCATGGCGCCCTCCAGGTCATCGTCTCTGAAGGGCCAGCATCCTTGGACCCCAAAGTCTTGGTCGGTGCCGCACCAGCGCCAGCGGCGAAGGTGCGAAGGGGTTGCCACAAAAAGCCATTGTCGTTGAAGCCGATTTCACCAAAGGTGGCCAGATTGGTGCCCCAAACTGAGTTGGAGGTTCCCCTGATCACTTGGTTGGGTCCCCAGCAATGTCAGGTTGTGGTGGAGGAACCCAAGGAACTCAACGAGCCGAAGGTCCTCCCCGCCGCACCCGACCCCGGCCGCCGCGGCGCGGCAGCGGCCGCCGTCGCCGGCCGCAGCGCCGGCGGTGGCGCCGGCAGCAGCGCCAGCACAGGCGAAGATGGGATGATGGGTGGGTCTAGGTGCAGTTGGGTTTTCATGGGTAGAACTATGGGATTTAAGTAACAAAAATGGTGATGTTTTTTTTCTGACAATTCAGAGTTCTGTAACTGCAGAACTTGTGGGATTTGGCGTTCTCAGCGTTTTAGACCGTGGAACACGCTTTCATTTGAGTTTGAAAGTGGTATGTTTAGACATGCGACATGCCCCAAACTCATCAGTTCGTCTGCTCAACAGATTATCAACTAGTCATTTAATGAGGTCTCGAGATGTCTTTAGCATTTCGGGCATACCCAGATAATACCTAAATGGATGATTCTTGCTAAACCCCCGGTCCTTTCGTCGTTGAGTCAACTTATGGTTATATAAGTGATGTTAAGTACACAGTACCCTTTTGCACAATATTTGATCCAACTGTGAAAATCGCAGATATCGGACATAGCCAAAATGCACAGACACCCTTCTGGAAATCCCAGCTCCTTAATACTGGACAGCCTTTCGTCCCAAATATGTGATTTCATCCTTGCTCGCATGCTTTCTGGCGG